AGCTGAACCTTTCAAAGCCAGCCAGGGGTCCCCTGTGAAGTGCCACTGAGGTGTTTTACTTGTGTGTGAGCAGTGGGAATGAGATGGGGTTTTTGTGAGCACCTATACCCGAGTGTCTGCGAGGGCAGTTTTTATAACACTGATAAAGTGCAATTTTTCTGACATCCAAGTTGGCTGGCAGGGGTGGGAGGCTGAGGGAGGGCTGGTGGTCCAAGCACCAGCCCCAGGGAGAGTAATGAATTTGATCATAGCATCCCAGAATGGTTTGGGTTGGAAGGAATCTTAAAGCCCATCCAGTCCCACCCCCTGCCGTGGGCAGGGACACCTTCCACTAGCCCAGGTTGCTCCAAGTCCTGTCCAACCTGGCCTTGGACACTCCCAGGGATGAGGCAGCCACAGCTTCTCTGTGCAGACTGGGTGCCCTGAAACCTCCTCCCTGCCCACAGCAGCCTCCCATGCCCCGTGCCCCACACTCACCCTCTCCTCTCTCCCCACAGCCCCACACTCACCCTCTCCTCTCTCCCCACAGCGGGCTCTCAGTGACGTGCAGGCGGGCGAGAGCCAGCGCAGCCCCAGGATGACCTCCCCCCTCGCCTGGTGAGGGGCCTGCGGTGGTGACCCGAGCTGCCACAGTCCATTGCCAACAAAGTGCAATTTGCTCCCGTCGAGTCTGGTTGTAAATACGCTGCTGCCCCCTGCTCCCACCCAGCAGAGCCACGGGCGGGCGGGCACCGAGCGGGCACCAAGCAGGTGACAGTGGGTGGTGTGAGGGTGAGGCACGGGGACACGAGGGCAAACACTGCACTGGGCTTGATGACAGCTTTTTCAGCACCCTCCATCTCCAGTGGATTCCTGAGTCAAGGGTTTCAGACCCATCTGGTGAAACTCCACTCGCTGGAGTTTCCAGGACAAGAGAACTTCCCCGCATCCCCCCGGCCACGGCCCAGCATGGGGGGCTCTGCTCAGGCAGGCACTGCTCGCCCTGCCAGCCTTGGGACCGGGGTTAAAGCCCAGCCACAGAGTCCCTGGGAAGCAGGTCAGGCAGGGGAGGGGGTGTGGGGGGATGAGGAGAAGGGGTGCCACCGGTGCCTGCTCCCCCGAGACCCTGCGTAACAATACTGCTGAGCTGCTCTCCAGTCCCTCCCCAGTCCTGTCTGCCCTGGAGCAGAGCACGTGGGGCTGGAGCTCCACCTGAACAGGCTGTAACAGTGGAGCAGACATCACTGGAGGTGGTCTGCAGGCTTTAATTCCCTGCCATTGCCAGCCAGTGGCAATGGAAAGCAACAGGACCTTGCAGAACCCTTCTGACACGTCCATGTGGTCCCAAGTATGGATCTGGTCTAATCCTACCCAGCTTCATCCCGCCCATCAGCTTCGCTTAAAGCTGTGCCAGAGGCTGATGGATCTTGAAAGCTTCTCAAGAGTTTAACACCATCAGCACAAGGCTTGTTGGAACTCGCCAGCAGCCAGAAATCCCTGAGCGTTTTGGTGCCTCCTTGGAAAGCACAGAACCCCTGGCAGCCTGAAAATGAGTGGGAGTCCTCTGCAGCCCCAAGTGCCTCCCCAAGGCACAGCAGAGACAGCAGGAAATGCATCCCCTGCCCTCCTCCAGTCGCTTCCAAGAGCTGGAGTCCTGAGTCCCTTTGCTGTTCATGGTGACTATCCCAGGGAGCTCCAGAGGTGTGCACGTCCATCCTCCAGTGTCCATGTCCTTCTCTCAAGGTGTGTGTCCGTCTGTCACTGAGTCTGGCTGTCACTGGATTCCCACGTGCTGTCCCCTGGGATGGGAGGGGAGCAGCATCCCACGGCCAGTGCGTGCACCTGAGGGTGACAGGGTGACAGGGTGCCCCCAGAGCTGCTGGCAGCACAGCAGACCCCCATTGCTGCTGTGAGACATCACTCCGTGCAAAACGCATCCGTTGCCTTCCAAGCCTGTCCCGCTCCCACATCCCACCCCATCCCAGCAAACCACAGCGTAGGGACCCCCTCCTCCCCCCCATTGCCAGAGCAAGGGCTCGTCCTGCAGCTCCGCTCAAGGACACGACCACCAACCGGTGCATTATTTGTGGGAGAGACCTTACGACCATCGAATCTCCAGGTTTTGGTATTTTTTTAAACCCTGCTGTAGAAAGTGAAGTATATTTTCACAAGTGTTCTCCGTTTATACAGCTTTAAGTGCCAGGTAGTGTGTAGCCTTGTGTTCCCAGAGGTCCAGACCTGTCCCTGCCCTGATGGAGGTGACAAGGCCACGCTCCCTCTGCTCCATTTTCCCTCTTGGATGTTGCACACTGCATTCCATTGATTTTTTTTCTTTTTTCTTTTCTTTTTTTTTTTTTTAATACATTCATTGTTCAAACCACCGGAGGTTCTTTTGAAGCTGTCATGACAGTAAATGCTGTACATAGATTTTGCTACATGTTGTAACTTTCCAAGATAGTTAGAACTCCAACCCCTTTGGTATTTTTATGTGATATTTTCAAAGAACCAGAACTTCTGGTTATATGATTTGATAATGGGACTCTGTATATTCACAATTCAGTCTCAACCCAATGCCTATGTGCTACTCCTAAAATAAAGCTACTGCCTTCTGCCTCCTGACTTTATGGGCCTCTGTCTTCTGTCCAAACTTGCTGCCATGATGGTGTGAGGAATTCTGCAGCTGGCACTTGTGCAACTGCACTTGTTAATGTTGGCCCTTTACACCTGCAGAAGAGACACAGGGTCTCACCTGCCTGGGCTGGGGCTGGTGTGGGCAGAATCACTGCCTAAGGGACCTCAGCATCCAGGCTGCTGTGATCAATACGAGCAGCAAATTCTTAAAATAGTATGGATTTTTTTCCTCCAACCTTCAGAAGAAAACATTTAATGAGCACATGAGCCAGTGAATTGTTTCCCTCTGAAAAGGAATTCTTGGCTGAGGTTGAGTTTATGTCCCAGGAGCCGTTTATCTCCCCTGACACTAATGGCAGATAGATAGGGAGCAGCTCCATATCAGATGTCCTGGTTGTAGATTAGCTGGTTTACAGCAGCCTGCTCCATCCCTGGGTGCTCCCCAGAGGCTGGAACATGGCTCTGTGCAGAGTCATCCAAAATAGCCCTGCTGAGCACGTGCATCTCCTTCCCATCCGCAGGCAATCCTGAGTGACGTGCTCCAGGGGAGCAGGGAGGTTGGATTAGGTGACCTCCCGTGGCCCCTTCCAACCTGAACCATCCTTTGGTTCTGTTTGAAGTGCTCAAACCCCTCCTGATGTTTCCTCAGCCCTCCTGGGTGATCCCACCTGGCTCTGCTGCAGCCCCGGGAGCCTGAGCTGCCCAGCGTGGCTGTCACACCTCCCACTGCCCGGGCTGAGCCCACAAACCACCCCCAGAGTGATGTCCCAGGGCCCCCATTGCACCGTGTCCCACACAACAGCCTCACCATTCCCTGCACGCTCCCACGGCTGGGGTTGGTAGCTGCAGACATGAGGTAATTCCTCCCTGGCCCTGGCACTGGCCAGGCTCTCTCCTTGGAGCCTCAGCCCAGCCTGAACAGAATTCCTGCGTCAGCCCTGTCACGGGATCATCCTCGCAGGAAAGCCTGTCCTTGGAAAGGAAATAACAACTTGGGCAGCAGCCGGGGCTGCTCCTGCTCCAGGGGTGCCACTGCCATCCCCTGGCACAGACTGGGAAACAGCGACCCTGGAAATCCCAAACGTGGGATTATTTAAGGCTTTTCACTCTTTCCTGCAAGAAAGGTGAAAAAAAAACCTCAAAGAGGAAATGATAAGCTTGAGTAACTCACAGGGAAAAGAGATTCCAGGCTGGCACCTCCATGGCAAAGTGGAACCACGTTCAAACCCTCCCTCTACGGATCTGGATAATGGTTTGAATGGCCACAATCTCTAATTATTTTCCGGGTGCCAAGAAAAATGCCAAAGAGACAAACAGAGATCTCAACTTCAGGCTGGAAGGGCTGGAGGTCAGGAAAAGGTGGCACAGACTGGGAGGCAGCATTTGCAGCCCTTGAGGATCCACCTTGTTCTAACACGACTTTGGAAAGTCTGGGGTTTCCAAATTGTAGCAGATCAAACTAAAGCATTTCTGATGTCAGGATTCAAAGGCCTTGTTACGTTCATCAGAACTGTGAGTGGGAAACATGAGATAAAATACAGATACTGGGTTTTTCATGGAATCATTGAATCCCAAAATGGTTTGGGTTGGAAGGGACCTTAAAGCCCATCCAGTCCCACCCCTGCCATGGGCAGGGACACCTTCCACTAGCCCAGGTTGCTCCAAGCCCCATCCAACCTGGCCTTGGACACTTCCAGGGATGGGGCAGCCACAGCTTCTCTGGGCAACCTGTGCCAGGGCCTCCCCACCCTCACAGGGAAGAATTTCTTCCCAATATTCCATCTAACCCTGCCACTGTCAGGTTAAAACATGCCCTTAGGGGGTCACCTACAGCAAAATTCCCGTTGGTAACTCCACTGTTGGGACATGGAATAAGTTTGTGTGAGGACAGTGCTCGTGCTCCATCTGCCCTCCCAGCCCAGGGGGTACCTGCCCAGCAAGGGGCTTCTCAGCAGTGCTGCCTGGGGCTCCACACACCCACCCCAGGGTTTGTGAGCTGCCTCCTGCCATGGTCTCTGTGCTGAGAGGTCCCTCTTCAGCATCACTCTCCGTGTGTTTTGGCCCCAGTGGTTTATCAGGGTCTTCAAACAGATGATGCTGAAGACAAACCTCCAGCCTGGCCCAGAGGGGGATTTGATTCTGGGATTAACCTACAGCCCCAGCATTGTGTCACAAATCCCAGCCCGGATGGATCCTGCTCTTTGTAAGGCTCAGGCATAAACACAGGGACAGGACCAGCGGTCAGCTCCTCCCTGTGCCACGGGCTGTCAGCTCCAGAGAACATCAGCACGGATTTTTTATTGTTCTGTGTCCCTTCTGTAGCTGCACAGATTGCTTAAGAGAATGGCACTCCGTGGAGTTTGACCCGGGAGCCCTGATAGTGAAAATAATACACTTCTCACCAGAGCCACGGGAGACCAAAAGAGTAACTTCGGTCAATTAGTTTAACTTTGACTATAAATATTCCTTCTCATCCCTTGTGACCCTGTTAACAGCTCCGCTGGCAAACCCCGATTCTCTGGCAATATTTAAGCTGCCTGTCAGTTGGCAGAGCCCTGGTGGTGCCCGGCGCGGGGAGCAGAATAAGACCCAGCTGAGCACAGTAAGTTTCCTTTCGGCTTCTACCTCGAGTCGGGGAGCTCCGGTCGGGTTCGGGGCTGGTGCTGGGCTGCTCTCGGCCTGGGTGAGCAGTGGTGTCCGTAGGAGGTGGATGGACCTGGGAATGCTTTAAAAAAACCTGTGGAGGAGGCATTTAGAGCGCCACGGTGCCAACGGGTTCCTCGAGAGCCACGTGGGCTGCGTCCCCCCGGCCCCGGCGATAAAGGGCAGCTTCAGCGGCTTCATTTCGATGCCACGGATGTTCCTTCCTCACAATCTCTGGCGAGGAAAGCGCCGCCGCCTGTGCCAGGCACCGAGGGAGAGCAGGCTGTGAGCTGAATTCACAAAACGGGCAAAATTTCCACTGGGCCGTGGCAGAGTCGGGACCTGGAATCAGAGCAGCCGCCTCTGCTGTTCTCCTGCCACCAGCCCCGTGCTGGCTCGGGAGCGCAGGAGGAGCTCAACAGGCACCTGTGCTCAGCTCTGGGAATCTCCCCTGGAGCGCATCCCGCCTCTCCATGTTTACTGACAGGCACCACAGACGCCTGCAGAGCTCTGCCCTGCTCTGCACATGTTCTGGAGGGGGCAGACACGACCCTGCCCACCCGTGGGGCTGAATCCCCAGTGTGAGCGAGCGTGTGTAGCTGCAGCACTGGCTGCCCCTCCAGTGCAACCCAGAGCTGGACTTTGATGACCCTTGTGGGTCCTTTCCATGATTCTGTCATCCTGTGGCCTCCTGAAACAGCAGTATCAGAGGGAAGGTGGGAGGTGTCAGAGTGGGGTTAGCAACTTCCCCAGGCTGACATACCAAACCCTGTTTTTCTTTTCCTAGTTAGAGGATAAGCATGCCAGTAAAAACTCGGCAGCAGCCAAGACACATTGGCTCTTAAGGAGGTAAGATAGCACTGATCTGGTCATCAGTGCTCTGCATCCTTGCCAGGCAGAAGTTCCCAAGGGAGTGGGATCCAGGGGGTTTATAAGGCACAGAAAAGGCTCTGCCAAGATGCTGCAAGTCCCAGCCTGGTGCTACCACTGCTGGTCTCTACCAGACCATGGCTCTCTACCAGAACAATGGCTCTCTACCAGCTCTGGCTCTTGTGCTGGAGGCTGCTGATGTCTCAGGATACAAGCCCCAGCTGCAGGAAGTGTGTGATGGGTGGTACCTGCCCCCGGAAAACTCCTCATTTATTGTCCGACCTTTGGTAAATGGATGAGCCCAACGATGCTGCTCCAGGCACAACCCGGGCTGCAGGGTGGGGTGTAGAGGGGACACAGGGCAGGACTGTCCCTCCCGAGCACTGCCAGCACCTCCGTCACACGGCACCTGCCACTCGGTCCCCCTCTGGTTCACCCTCCTGGGCAGCCGTGCCCAGCGGTGCCGCCGGGGCAGGAGCAGAGCTGGGCACACTCGGGGCAGGCCCTGGGGCCACGGGGGAGCTGGGGGAGGTTCAGCTGCACCCGGACACCGGGTGAGGCCGGCGGCAGTGATGACACACGTGGCTGTGGGACAGGTCCTGGCCTGGGCTGTGCCGCGCTCCCGGTGCTCAGAGGCAGAACTCGTTTGGCCGCTTGTCCCATCCCCGTGCTGAGTGCCCCGGGCTGCTGCAGGCCACCCCGAGCCCCACCTTCTCCAGCTTTCTGCAGGGGGTAGGCTTATAAGTGTCTCCTTACAAGTGCAAGAGAGGCCTAAGGACACGGCCAGGTGCACAGGGCAGGGACCAGCAGACACCACCAGTGACACTGGGGCTGGGGCCAGGGCTGAACCGGGGCCAGGCAGTGCCAGGGCTGGTGAGTGCTGGTTCTGCTCCTCTTTGGAGGAACCATCTCCTTGGCTCGGCAGGGTAAGAGGAACGATCCCAAACCTGCTCTGTGTGGCACTGAGGGTTCTCTGGGGACCAAGCCAGGGGCTGTCTGAGGTGGCCCCGGCTGCCACTCGCCTCCTGTCCTGCTCTCAAAGTGTGGCTGAGCCGAGCTGAGGGGAGGAGGAAACTGCTGGAGCAGTTCATGTGCCTTCACATCCCACGGCTCGTCGCCAACAGCTTCACACCAAGGGCTCTCCACGGGCACGGTTCTGGCAGCAGCTGCTCCCTGAGGCCAGTCCTGAAGCAGTGGGACCCTCAAGCTCTCATCACCAGCTCTGCCACATCCCACTCCTTTCCTCCTCATATTTCAGCTGTTTCTACCTTCTCTCTAACGCACCTGTTTCTCCCCATTTAGAAAATTGCATAAGAAATCCCACCGGGTCGTGCTGTCCTGACTGCTGGCAGCATCTCCTCATCACAGAAAGGGGGAAGTCAAGTGGCAGAGACAAGACCCTTCCCCACAGCTCCGGCACGAGCAGCTGGAGCCAGAGCCGAGAACCCTGAACTCCTGAAGGAACAGTCACCACCTTCCCTGGGCTGCCACATCCTCCTCTAACCGTGTCACCTGTCCTTTAACAGGTTTATGCACCGGGACCAAGGAGTGCCCAGCCTGCCTGAGAAGCCATGGAGCCCACCAGCATCCCCCCGGCCTCGGTGAGCCCCTCGTGGGACGCGTTTCCCCAGCAGACTCTGGAGCCCGTCGACATTGCTGTGCTCGTGCTCTACTTCCTCTTCGTCCTGGCAGTCGGGCTGTGGGTGAGCAAACTCTGTTAAAACCTTCCTGTGAGCCTTGTTATGCCAAAAAATACGGCTGGCTTGGCCTCACATTATTTTACTTTGGCTGGAATCAGGCTTCACTTCGCCGGATTCAACTGAACAAGCGCAAAGAGGGAGTTTGCAGGTCCTTCCCCTCACCTTGGCCTGGGGAAGTGTCCTGACTGCTCCACTGGAGAGCTGGTCAGCCCTCTGTCTGCCAAGGTTTTGAGAACCCTCGTGAGGAAGAGGCTGTCTGAGTACACAGCATTGCTAATAATAATGTTTTGTTCATCCAGGAAGGAACTGCTGTGCTATAAATCACCTGTGCTTGTCCACAGGGGTCCCGACAGCAGATTCCGTAAATTAAAAACGCTGTCTGTGTATAATTAAGGCAGAAGGACATCCTTTGGCATGGCTTTTGTGACAGCAAGAGCACAACCTGGCTGTCAGGAGGCAGAGATGAATAGCTGCTCCCCTCACACGTGGTGCATAACTCTCAGGGTATTGCATGAACCTGTCTGAGGAAGAGGAGTCCGTGGGTCATACCTGCCATGTCAAGCATTCCTCCTGGCTGCACCTTATACCTGTGGATTCCACAGTTCTTGTCCAAAAGTATTTCCCTTCCTTTCTGATCTGGAGGGACTTATTTTGCTTATCACAGGAAACATTCAATCAGGATGCTGAGATGATGGAAAAGTCTGTGCGGGGCTCAGGGCACTGGTTGGTCCCATCCCTCCTCCCCCAGGGTTTCCCAGCAGCAACTGTCCTTCAGGAAACCCTTTGCTCCCACCTGATGACAGTTCAGAGTGTCCTGTGGGGAAATCTCTGGGTGATGCCCTGAGCAGCCCCCAGACCATGGCTGAACCCGTGTCCCTGTTTTCTGCTCCCCAGTCCATGTGGAAGACGCAGCGCAGCACCGTCAAAGGCTATTTCCTGGCCGGAGGACAGATGGTCTGGTGGCCTGTGAGTATCTGTGTGGTCACCCTGCCCGTGCCCCCGGGCTGCAGCCACGCTGACCAGCACCTCTGCCCAGGCAGAGCTTGTTTGTCCAAACAGAAGTAAATAAATAAACATCACTCCCGTGTTTTGCAAAGACCCAGTTACACGCTGGGTTTTGCCCCCACATTTGAGGCTGGGGAAGTGGAGCTGATGCAGGGCGAGGGCCAGCCCGATGCCTCACAAAGCCTGGCTGCTTCTGGAGAGTTCCACAATTAACTGGGGTGTCCCCATCGTGAACACAGCTTTGTGTTGAGCCACTCTGCTGGCTGGGGTGTCTTGTTTGGGCTGGTCCCTCAGGATGTGCTGATACCAGGACCTGACATTTCTACCTGTTCCCTCCACCTTCTGCTCTGCTCTCCTGCTGTTTTCGAAGGAGCATGATCCTAAACATGCCCACAAATAGGCAGTGAACGGTGAAAGAAGCTGGACAGAGGTGCCAGAGCCACTGAACCTGTAGGCAAAAGAAGAAGGTGGCGGAGGGTGACAAGGATTTAATTTCCTCCATGGTCATAATGGGGGAACAGCATCACTGTGCTCTCACCAGGCTGAGAACAATGCCCTGTGCCAGGGCCAGACCTGATTTTCTGTGTTTCTCCAGGTGGGAGCATCCCTGTTCGCCAGCAATGTTGGAAGCGGCCACTTCATCGGCCTGGCTGGGTCGGGAGCTGCCTCGGGAATTGCTGCAACAGCCTACGAGTGGAACGTGAGTGTGCACGGGGCTGGAGAGCCCTCCCCGTGCTGGACAGGGGGGCCCCAACGAGTCACCACAGCAGGGCACAGCCCTGGCACCTCTGACACTCCAGATCCTGCTGCCCGAGCCTGAAGTCACCAGCTGTGATGAGTCCCTGTGTCCCTGCTGATCCACGGGATCAGAGCCTGGACCTGCCTCTCTGACCTGCCCTCCCCTTGGTTTGCAGGGGATGTTCTGTGTCCTGGTGCTGGCCTGGCTGTTCCTGCCCATCTACATCGCATCGGGGGTAGGTCGGGGGGTGCTGTGTCCCTCTACTGTTTGTCTGTACCATTGGTGTGCCTCGGGCTGCAGCTCTCCTGCTCTGCCTGTGGCTCCTGGACTGAGCCATGGGGCATCCGGCTGCTCCTCTGGCTGCTCCTCTGGCTTCTCCTGTGCTGCTCCTGCAGCTGCTCCTGTGCTGCTCCTCTGGCTGCTCCTGTGCTGCTCCTGTGGCTTCTCCTGTGCTGCTCCTGTGGCTTCTCCAGTGGCTGCTCCTGCAGTTGCTCCTGTGGCTGCTCCAGTGGCTGCTCCTGTGGCTGCTCCTCTGGCTGCTCCAGTGGCTGCTCCTTCAGCTGCTCCTGTGGCTGCTCCTCTGGCTGCTCCTGTACTGCTCCTGTGGCTGCTTCTGATGCTGCTCCTGCAGCTGCTCCTGTGGCTGCTCCACTGTCCAGGCTAACGGGCAGCAGAGCTGCTCCCTGGGGCCAGCACGGTGGGTGTGGGGGGTCAGTCTGCTCTGTAGCCCCCCTGGCAATGGGTAGAGTTGCTCCATGCCCTGAGGGGGTGGATGGACACTCCTGTATCCTGGGTTACAGTGAGCCCTGTGCCAGACATCACAGCAAAGCCAGTGCTTGCTAAGCTGCTGCGCTGGCATAAGTCAGCAACTGAGATCCAAATACCAACCCAGGGCAGCTCTGAGGGCCCTTCTGGTCTTCTACCAGTGCAAACACCCTCATGGCTCCCTGGGTGAGCCCTGGGCAGCTCTGGGAATGACCCCGTCCCCCCTGCCCTGAGCTGTGTCTCTCCACAGGTCACCACCATGCCCGAGTACTTGAGGAAACGTTTCGGAGGCAAAAGGATTCAGGTGTTCCTGGCAATTCTCTACTTGTTCATCTACATCTTCACCAAAATATCAGTGAGTAGAAAAAAAGGGAAATGGCTTGAATTTGATTCACTTTGGAAGTGTGGGCTGAGCAGGGAGGCTGAGAAATTCAACCAGTGGCACTTCCCTGGGTGAGCAGGGAAGGGTTTATTATCAAAATGCCCAAGGAAGAGAGACTGCAGTTGTTTTGAGAACCAACACAAAAAAGAATGATTTCTTTTCTTGCCCATTAAGCACCTGAATGCCTGTGTCCTGAACAATAGTTCATGGAAAGGTGGAGCTGTGAGTGTGCATGACGTTGTTTTTAGATTTTGCTCACCCAGTTTTTCCCCTTTTGCCCATTTATTGCCTGTGCAGACACCAGGTGCTGTTTTTTAGGATGGAGAACGACGTAGGGACTGGTCCAGGGCTAGGAGAAAAGCATTCAGTGATTTATTGCACCTGTTTGAATACATAACTGAATCAACTCTTGCACAACACCTTGGTGGCTGTTCATTAACAGCCCAGCAGGGCACAGATCCGTGAAAACAGATCCCTGCTGGGGCTTTTCCTGCACAGAGGGGCCACAGTGGGACACGGGGTGTGACCCTGCCTCTGTCCCCCCTGAAACTTCTGACAAAGGGAAATGGCTTTAAACTAAAAGGGTGAGGTTTAGATTAGATACTGGGAAGCAATTCTTCCCTGTGAGGGAGGTGAGGCCCTGGCACAGGCTGCCCAGAGAAGCTGTGGCTGCCCCATCCCTGGGAGTGTCCAAGGCCAGGCTGGACGGGGCTGGAGGAAGGCTCAGGTTCTCCTCTAGATAAAACTGACTATTTGATGGAATGTCTGATAACACAATTCCTGTGATCAGGATGATTTTACACCTGCCTGTCCTCCCGTGGTTGGCAGTTTGCCTGTCCCAAACTCTCCCGAGCTGCAGCATTTTCACGTAGCTGCAGAGCTGGTTGGTCAGGGCTGGGCCCAGCCCCGAGGACACTTTCCCTGGTGACCTCCCTGTCCCCGTGGCAGCAGGGAGGAATCCACAGATGGGTGCTGAGGTGCCTGGGGAGTTTGCACCAGGTGCCCCAGTTCTCCCCCCAGCCCAGCCCAGTCACTGGTGCTCGGGGGGGAGAGATAAGCTCACCCCACCCAGATGCCTTTCTCACAGGGAGCTGTGCACGCTCCCCTCCCTGTGACAGCCCCATCCTCCCCTCTCTGCCACCCCTGTGACCAGCAACAACAATGAACTGGCTAAAGAGTGAGCTGTGGAGGGCAGGGTGGCAGGGGCTGGGGCTGCAGGGGCTGTGCCCGGGGGATCCATGAGCAGCTCCAAGCCAGGCTGGGCCCAGCACAGGAGATTTGGCTCGACCAGCTAAATGCCCACTGCATGGCAATGCCATGGCTGCAGCTGTGCCACTGTCCTTTGCTGCAGGTGGACATGTACGCCGGGGCCCTGTTCATCCAGCAGGCCCTGCACTGGGACCTGTACATCGCCGTGGCGGGGCTGTTGGCCATCACTGCCATCTACACCGTGTCGGGTACGTGCCAGGGACCCCCCCCCAGCCTGCCCGGGGAGGGACACACCCTGTGAGCATCCCAGGCCAGGCTGGACTGGGCTGGGAGCAACGTGGGATAGTGGAAGGTGTCCCTGCCCCGTGGCAGGGGGTGGAACAAGATGATTTTTAAGGTCCCTTCCAACCCAAACCATTCCAGGATTCTTGTGATTCGTGCCATGCGCTGTGTCCTTGGGGTAGGAGTCCTGCATCCCCCCCAGTCTGGTTCTGCCATGAATATGGATACTGGGAGGGGGGAACACCAATTGAAAACTCCCCTTTTTAGAAAAAATTGCCAGGTGAGAGTGAGTGAACCTCCCTCACAGGCCACCCTAGGTGGGATCATGTCAGCCCTGCTTTAAGGAGCAGCTCTGCTCCAGTCCAGGCGTTTGCAGGATCCGTTTTCCTGGGGCTCTCTGGAGGTGTGAGGGATTTACAGGACAATGAGCCGTGTAATGCGGAAAGACTCCAGGCTTGGATGCCCTTTCAGGGCTCACCAGTGGCCAAATGGAAAACAGCCACGCACGGAGCAAGCAGAGATCCCAAACAAAGAAAGGTTATTGCTTTCCCAGTGCTCACCCCCAGTGATGAAAAATCACCCCCCCCTTTTCTTTCTTCTCCTCCTTTTGCAGCTTGGGCTTTGTTTTGGAGTTTTTCCATGTATTTCCCGTAGAATTATTTCTGCTGGACTTCGGTGTTCAGTGACCAAATGGTGACTCATGATGATTCAAACCACTGGGAATTCCAGCCAAAGTGTCTTTGGCCAAACTGCCCCTCAGCAGAGCGAGAAGCCCCTGGCCAGGCTGGGGGCTCAGCTTGTGCTGCCGGGCAAGAACTTGTGCAAAGTGTGAGCTGCTCCAGCAGAACAAACCCAGTTTACCCCAGTGTGGTGCCTCTCTGCTCTCCCAGGTGGCCTGGCAGCCGTGATCTACACCGATGCTCTGCAGACCCTCATCATGCTCATCGGGGCCGTCACTCTCATGGTCTTCAGTGAGTGTTTCCCTGGGGCTTTATCACTAAAAAGATGATAAAAGCTTTACCAAGCTAAATAATAGGAAGAAATTCTTCCCTGGGAGGGTGGGGAGGCCCTGGCACAGGCTGCCCAGAGAGGCTGTGGCTGCCCCTGGACCCCTGGAAGTGTCCAAGGCCAGGTTGGACGGGGTTTAGAGCAACCTGGGATAGTGGAAGGTGTCCCTGCCCATGGCAGGGGGTGGCACTGGATGACCCCTTGTGTAACATTACCCACAGCCAACCAGACACTGAAATCAGAGTTCTGACCTGGGAAGATGCAATAAGAGCTTCTCATGACCCGTTTTAGGCTTTATTGAAGTCGGTGGCCTGGAAGGTTTGCAGACAAAATACTTCAGTGCCATTCCCAGCACCCGCAAGGAGAACAGCAGCTGTGGCTTGCCCAGGGAAGATGCTTTTCACATCTTCAGAGACCCTGTTAACTCTGACCTTCCCTGGCCAGGAGTTTTGGTGGGAATGACCATCCCATCCCTGTGGTACTGGTGCACAGACCAGGTGGGTCACTGCTTGTCTCTTTGGCTGGTTTCAAGAAAATGCTGTTGGTTGTTTGAAGCTGATTACAAACCTTGGGGTTGCAGCATCACCTGGACTGATTTACTATTTCTTATGGGAATCCAGTAAAATCTGGTTGCTTCAATACTAAAAATGCAAACCTTGATATGCACAACTGGATGTTGGGAGTCATCTCAACATAAAAAGGGCTGAGAATGTGTTTGTGAGTCAATCCCAGTCTATAAAGATTTTTTTGGTTGGTTTGTTTTTTAACTGGAACCTTTCACTCCTTTCAAACCACCTGTGAATTCCCCTTCTCAACTTTCCAGGGGTCTGTCTCCCATCCCTCCCAGTGACACCATCAGAGCCAGGAAGATGAAGCTCTAAGTCACCTTTTTATGTTCCTATTGTGTTTTCTTGCTCATTTCAGACTCTGTCCTGCTGCTGCCTTGGCCAGGCTTATCCGTAGGGTCAGGGAATTCCCCAGTGCAGGAAGAATAGAAAATTCTGAGTGTGGTCAGCTGGGGATGAGGTTCTGCAGCACAGTGTCCTGCCAGGCTCAGCTGGGATGGCACAAGCAGTGCCTTTCAGGTCTGTGTTCCTGTGAGGTGCTCGGGATCCAAACCAACCATAAAGCCACAGCCAGGCTGTGATCACCCGTCTGGGGCTGCCAGAGTTCAGTGGAGATCAAAGTCAGGGTCGCTCCATCCCAGCCAGCTCCTCGCTGCTGGCAGCCAACCCAACCCATTCCTTCATTCCTAGGTCATTGTTCAGAGGTCCCTCGCTGCCAAAAACCTCTCCCACGCCAAAGGAGGCTCCTTGATGACCTCCTACTTGAAGATTTTGCCCCTCTTTATGATGGTAATGCCAGGCATGATCAGCAGGGTTCTCTTCCCAGGTAAGTGCTGAGGGAGAGATCTGTTCCCTCTCTCTGGCTCTGCCTCCTCCACAGAGCTGGAGCACCTTTACTGAACAAGTTGAGAGGTTCCAATGCATCAAATGCCCAATGTATGAAAAAATTTTCTACCAGTTACCAGCTGGAGAATGCAGATCTTGCTACAGCAGCCCCAGACATCTCTGTGTTGAGATGGTCCTCTGCCATTTGCTGGAAGCTTCCCAAGCTCTCCAGTATTTTCCTTAAAAAGCAGTTTACAACATTCAGCAGAGTAACTTGTTTAGACACATGGTTTATTGTGGCTGGGGAGTGCTGCCTCTCACTCCCCACTGCTTGTTTCAGACCTGGTGGCTTGTGCAGATCCGGAAAATTGCCAAAAAATCTGTGGCAACCCCTCTGGCTGTTCCGATATCGCTTATCCCAAGCTGGTGTTAGAGCTTCTGCCTGTAGGTAAGAGCTGCTGCTGGCACTGGTGGGTTCTGTACACTCCAACCACAGGTTGAGTGAGAGAAGTTCAGAGAGGGAAATACCCTGAAACTCATTTCAGTGGGGTTTGTGTTGGGTTTGGTGAGAGAGTGGCAAAGGGCAGCAGGAAACAGGAGAGATGGGGGATGATGCCCTATCCAGAGTCTCATTCAGTCAAATCTGGATAAGAGATAAAGCACAGATGTTTAACAATGAGAAACAAGGGCTAAAACTTCCCTATCACTTTTATTTTAAAACTGGAGCTAAACCCACCTTTAAAAGTCTGTTCCAGCTCATAGAAGACCTCAAGGTCACCCTGCAGTGGAGCTACTGGGGGTCCCTCAGGGCAGCTCTACTTCTCCTTCTGTTTCCAGGACTCAGGGGCCTGATGATGTCAGTGATGATAGCAGCTCTCATGTCCTCCCTGACTTCCATCTTTAATAGTGCCAGCACCATCTTCACCATGGACCTCTGGAAACACTTCCGTCCGCGTTGCTCCGAGTGGGAGCTCATGATCGTCGGCAGGTACGGAGAGCTGGGACGTGTCAGAGACACCCCTGGGCACAGCCTGCTGAGGGAACACCTTGCACAGCCTGGGGGGAGGACCAGAGTGGAGTTCTGAGTTATGGCTGTGAGGCAGCTCAGTCGGAGTCTCGCGCGCTGAGCAACGGGAAAAGAACATCCCACAGCAAAGGTGCCCCCAGCAAAGGCATCCTTGTCTTGCCCAGGGTCTTTGTGCTGCTGCTCACCGTGATCTCCATCCTGTGGATCCCCTTGGTGCAGGCTGGCCAGGGCGGGCAGCTCTTCATTTACATCCAGTCCATCAGCTCCTACCTGCAGCCGCCCGTGGCCGTGGTGTTCATCCTGGGCTGCTTCTGGAGAAGAGCCAACGAGAAGGTAACGGCTGCCCCGGAGCCTGGCCAGCCCCGGATCGGGGGGAGGATGCTGCTCCTCGCTCCAGCACGGGATTCCAATTCCCTTCCTTTGCAGGGCGCCTTCTGGGGGCTGGTGGTGGGGCTGCTGCTGGGCCTCGTTCGGCTGGTGCTGGACTTCATCTTCCCCGAGCCCCGGTGCGGCGAGGCCGACGCCCGGCCCGGCCTGGTGAAGTACATGCACTACCTGTACTTCTCCATGGTGCTGGCGGCCGTCTCCACCCTCACCGTGCTGCTGGTCAGCGTGGCCACCGAGCCCCCCGCCCCCGAAATGGTGCGTCACCCCCCCTGCTTTCTTTGCTTTGTGTGGTTGCCGGGGTGCCCCACGTCCCACCCGTGGGAATAATGTGGGGAGAAATAACCCGGAGGTGGAAGCTTCCATTCGTCCTTTGTCTATGACCACACTTGTAGCAGCAACCCCTGCTCTGCTCCAGCACCTCTGATTCGGGCCCCATAAATCCCACCCTGGAAACTGCTCAACAGTAGATGCTACCAAGAGCTGTTGTTCAAGCATGTGTGTTTAATCCATGACAAATTAGCCTTTTTCCCTCTATTTTCCAAGAAATTCCAGCTTCTGGGTCATCTTTACCAACTCTCTTACTAACTTAGTGAGGAACCATTTTTACTCGCAGGAAAGAGAAACCCAGGGCACAGAGCACAACTCCTCTGAACCAGGTTTGTGCCAGTTTGACTATTTTCAGTAGATGTACTGAGGCTACAGAGAAACACAAGGAGGGGCAGGGGAGCTGGAGGGATCATGCAGCAGCACATCCTCTTGCTTCAAGACAGGACTAACCCAAAAGTCCTGGTGAACTCAGAAATCCCCAGAGAGGGAGATGCCCCAGAGGTGTGTGATCAGTCCAGAGCTCACCTGCCCTCCCTGCAGCAATTTTTCCTCATCTCCAGCGTGAATCTTTCCAGCTTCATGTTGTGCTCATCCCTCTCTATCCACACTATCGCTGAGAACATCCCTCTTTAACGAGTCTTTTAGATATTTGAAGAAAACAATCCTACCTCCTACTTGTCTCATCTCAACAACCCCAGTTCTTTGAGCCGTCCCTCCCCGGCCACAATTTCCATTCTTTTTGCTCCTTCTTGACTCACTCTCAGCCTGCACCCACAGAGAAATGTCCCCTCAGTACAGAGTGAAGACTCATCCTCCTGAGGTGGAGCTGTGCTGTTCCAAACCCCCGCTGACGGTGACCCGAGCTCGGCTGTTCCCCTGCTCCCCAAAGCAGGAGGGCAGATTTTGGCCCCACCACGTGTTCTCTCTGCAGGCGGCCCTGGGGCTCCTTTGAGCAGGAGCAGCAGTTTCTTTAACACCCCTCTTCATGCCATCAGATAAGTCGGCTCACCTGGTTCACGCGTGGGGACCCACCGCCCAAGCAAGACCTGGCAGTCGGCCCCTGCCCCGGCGACGCCGAGCGCCCCGTTCTCCAGCTTGAGCTAAACATTGCCTCTGGCAGTAGTGCAGAGGAGAAGAAATGTAAGTGCTCCAACGTCCTGCTCAGTAACCCCACACCCAACAACCCTTGGCGTCCGTAGAGGCTTTGAAGACGAGAGACACATTAAAACTCCTTCCTCTGGAATTCCGTAGCTTCAGGGTGTGCTGAAAGAATCACAGAGTTAGAGAATCACAGAATATCCTGAGTTGGAAGGGACCCATCAGCATCATCCAGTCCAACCCCTGGCCTCGCACAGGACACCCCAACAATCCCACCCTGTCTCTCAGAATGTTGTCCAAACCCTCCTGGAGCTCTGGCAGCCTTGGGGCTGTGCCCACTGCCCTGGGGAGCCTGGGCAGTGCCAACCACCCTCTGGGGGAGGAACCTTTTCCTGAGATCCATCCCAACCCCCCTGGCACAGCTCCAGCCATTCCCTGGGGCCTGTCACTGGTCACACAGAGCAGAGATCGGAGCTGCCCCTCGGGAGGAGCTGCAGACCCCAGTGAGGTCTGACCTCAGTCTCCTCTTCTCCAGGTGCAGAAAGGCTTTACCTGACATTTTACCTGAGCAGGAGTTTAGTCTCTTTCCCATCTTTTGATGGCATTACTTAAGCTTGAAACCAAGGAGCTGGATGGGATACAGAGCCATGCCCGCTATCCCACACCAGCACTGGTGCTGTGGCACCTGCTGCCAGGAGAACTGGCTGGAAAAGGGGAGGGTGGAGGAAAACCACAGTTATGTTGATGAAATTCCATTTCTGTTTTTCAGCGGTGTTTTCTGATCGGCTCTAGCAGCAGGGAGCACCCAGAGCCCTGGGCCGAGCTCTTGACAGATCAGTGAAGGAGGATTTGCATTTTTTAAAACTTGTACTTGTCGGTATTAGGTACAACCATGTGCAGCGACCCACTGCATTCTCCAGTGATGATTTGAATCCCCTGCTTTTGCCAGGCTTGGGACCCTGTTTATGTAACATTGCAGCTTTTGCTGAGTGTTTCTTTAATCTATAAAAGCTGTTGCAAGTTAATGAGTTAGGGCACAGCTCTCCCACTGCTGGGAAGTCTCGAGTTTGCTGTGCACAAGCATTGCCTTCCCAGTACTTAGTCCTGTGTCCCAACCCATACCAGAGCTGGGCAAATTCAGTTTACATGTGTATGGCATGGAGAAAACCCCCCTGGCCTACAGCAGGGCCCTGCCCAGGGAGGCTGCCACAGCTCAGTTTTTAGGTTTGGTTTACTGTTCCCACGGCTTAAACTGTTGGGAACAGCAGAACCTGAGCTCAGGTACTGCAGCCCCAAAAGATGATGACTGAAGGGGTCCCTACAGCTCAGTGTAGTGAGAGTGTTCACTCAGACACCACTGGTGCATTTCTGCATCAGAACCCTTTGAACAGGAGCACACGGGACATTCCTGGGATTCGCTTTGTTGAGGAGATTCATTCCTCACTCCCGACTCTCTTTTTAGGTGCAACTGAGGCCAAAGGCAGCTCGAAGCTGATGAGCACCTTCCTGTGGCTCTGTGGGATGGAGCGCAGGCAGGAGAGCACCGAGGGCACAGCACCTCCCAAACCTGAGCCCCTGCCCGTGGCTTCCCTGGAGGAGAAGCCGCTGGTGAAACACATCCTCAACATCAACCTGCTCATCTGTCTGTGTGCTGGGGTCTTCCTCTGGGCATACTTTGCATAGCCAGGGGGATGCAAGTCCAGATGACATCAACTAATTTTAATTGGTGTAAATATTAATAACTAGCAGAGGGTTAATGTAATTCTTAATGCTTTCTAAATTTTATTTCTTTTATTTAAGAAGACAGATCCTTCTTCCTAATCCCTTCCTTATTTGTAATGGGGGCCTGGCTTTGACCAGGGCTGAGTGCTTGGCACCAGCACTGTCAGACCCCAATTGGCCCCAAACAGCTGAGGAAGGTTTGGTTATTTTAAATATTTAAATTTGCTCTTTGGCCTTAGAGCAGTGCCTGGAATTCAGGAAGTCTGGATTCTTTTCCTATTTATGCCTCTATAACCAGCTACAACCACTTGGGTCCCCTTTGGTTCAGCTTCTCCAGCCTTGAGGGGCGAGTGACAGCTCTGAGTGCCCAGAGGAGAGGCCAAGGGCCTTGTCCACGCTCTGCTGTATCTCACTGGCTCAGCTGTGCCCGTTCAGCCTCCTCCCTGTGTGCACTGAGCACCGAGGGGCCCGTCCTGGGAGCTCCTGCTGAGTTACTGTTGCTCGTGGTCTGACGGTGACACCGACCAACACCAGCACCCAGCGTGGAAACTGCCCCAAAACTGCCTCCAGGGGCACCTGAAGGACCTAGACCAGCCCAAACCCAGCAGCTGCTGCCAGGGCAGGGGTGCCCAGCAGCAGCCCCTCATTGCCTGGGCCCCCCCAGCTGTTCTGGGAGCAATCCAACAGAGAGCCCTGGGCCAGGAGCACCAACCCCTGTCCTGGCCCCTGGTCCGGGGCAGCCTGGGCAGGAGGGGGACGAGTGCCCTGCTCCCACCCTGGGGCCTTGTGTAGCTGCAGATAAACTTAATAAAGAGTGAGAGCTGCTCCCTGCCTGCCTCAGTCTGTGGGATGGGGCTGCCAGGGCCTGGGGCACAGCACAGACCCTCCCGTGCTCCAGACCCCTCTGGGGCTGGGTTAACGTGCAGCTGGTTGCAGTCTGTTTAACATGAACCCACATATCAAGGAATAAACCTGTGTGCATTCCCAGAGTGCTTCCACTGCAGCCCTCAAGGAAAACCAAGCTGAGCAGCCAGTGACTCCGAGCAACAAAGCCCAGGGGATCACTGTGACCTTCAGGGCCCACTGGAAGCAACAAAACTAGAAAAAAAGAAGCCTTAAGTTGACAAAAGACAATCTTTAATTTTATACATGTTCACCCAACTGCTGAATCCAAACAGCTGCTTCAAAGTTCTTCCAAAATTCAACCGTTTGCAATAAAAGCACAAACCCCACTTCCACAGTTTCCTCGTGGAACAGTTGCCAGTTGCACATGAATAAAACCAGGTTAATACAAATAACTATGAAATGAGGGTAACTACTGATCCTAAGTAGCAATGAAATTATTAAAGAGACAGAAAGTTCCTCCTACAGCACGACAGTCCTTCAAGGCACTGGATACATCCACAGTTTGACAGGGTGACTGATAACCAGCAGTCACCACCAGCACTCGGGCAGGGGGTCGGTTCATGGTTTAAGAAGAATGTGCAGCAAATCCCAGAGGGAATGTCCCTTGCGAGGCAGCTCCTGGCACGGGCTAAGAACTACAAATAAAATCTAACCGTGACATTAAAAGGATTATTTCCATAATACATACATGCACTTTAAATAACTAATGTTCTGCTTGCTTATTCTTTTGGAATCTCTGCTAATACCACCTGTATCAGCACTGATTACGCTTCCTGGGAGAGTTCCTGTAGGAATTCATTCCTTCCATCCAAGAGTTTGAAAACCCTTGTCGAGACACAGATCATCAAACTTCTTCTGAGCGGCTGAATCGGAGGCTGGCCACAGGTTGGCCTTTTCCACCCAAATGAGTCCGTAAATCACATCTCCAGTCCCACCTGCACTCAGTTCTTGCCAGAAGAAGCTTTTCCCTGTGAGGTGTGAGGGTTTTCCCACCAGGAGAGGAGGCGGGGAGGCGGCGGCGCTCCCGTCACAGCGCGGTGCTCTCCGTGTCGGTGTCCAGGTCCAGCACCAGGTGGTTGTGCAGGTCCCTGCTCGCCGGCTCCGGAGGAAGCTCTGAAGGAGGGGTTGCAAGTGGTTCTGGAATACTGGAATTAGAGTCTGCACAAAAAGGGAACAGCAAGTTTAGCAGCCGGGACGGGGCCGGCTCGTTCGCTCAGGTATTCCTGGGCATCTCCTTAGACACAGAAGGGAAAGGAAAGATCCACAAAGGCTCTTCCAACAGGGCTGGCACCCGTGTGCAGGTGGGCACAAAAGGTGAGCCAGACTAAACAGCTTGGAGTTGCTTCTCCTACAGACCCTGGCTTAGCCCTGTACCCCTCCCCTGTGTGTAACAGGGCACATCATGGTCTTTGCCACTTCTAAGGTGAGGAGAATTTTGTTCAAGCCAAGGTGTCTAAGAAGGACCCCAAAATGCTGCATTTCTGGTGACTGGCTGCCCTAGTAGCTAGAATTGCAAGACCAGAAAAATCCCTAAGAGTTCAAAAAAGATAACTGAAAATACTGCCAATGCTTGGGAAAGCTGATTTATAATATGCCACGACCTCCCTTACTGCAACTCAGCAGCTGTTCTGAACAGAAAGTTATTTAGATCACTTAAATCAATAAAGAATCCAAATAAAGGCCTTATTTTCAAGCACAGGAGCCCAGCCTCCCCTGCTCCTCTCAGCCCATCACAGCCTCACACAACCTGCAGGGATCTGTATTCCAGGATACTGTAATACAGCAGCTGGAATTCCATCACGTTCTGGCCTGACACTGATCAGGCAGTTAAGCCATAGAATCCCAGAAAAGTTTGGGTTGGAAGTACCTTAAAGCCCATCCAGTCCCACTCCCTGCCACAGGCAGGGACACCTTCCACCAGCCCAGGGTGCTCCCAGCCCCGTCCAACCTGGCCTTGGACACTTCCAGGGCTGGGGCAGCCACAGCTCCTCTTCCAACCCCAACAATTCCGCGGTTCTGTGGCACAGGGAAGGAGCATTTGTGACACCCCAGGGTTCAGTGACAGCTGGTACAGAAGGAGCCTCTGCACCCAACACACCCTGTCTAGATCTGTGTCCATGAGACAGCACAGGTGACAGTGGGCAGTGAGACACCAAAGCCACACACACTCTGCCTGCAGCACTTTAGTAGGTTTAGTGAGAGCAGCAGCTCGGGCCATGCCCAGGACACGAGCAAGCAGGTCCTGGGGACACTGGTTAGTACTGGGGTTAGCACACACATGATTATCAATCAGCAACAGCTCTGGCCAATCAGGTGCCTTTTCCTTACCATTGAACTTGCCAATACAGTTCCTACTGAATGCTGGTCAAACATCTGGATTATTTAATAAAATTCTTGATTAGAATATTCTAGGGTTTATTCCTTTAACACCATAAATAGAATTTGAGGCATTGCTAATGCCCAGGACGTGGACAAAGGAATCAACAGCATACTGAGAACAATTCAGAATTCCTGTTCTGGTATTATTACGAGGTCTGCTGGCAACTTAATTTTGGCTTCTGTTGTTTCCTCGCTCTTTCAGGTTGAAATTTAAAACAGTGACTGCACATTGTGAATTAGGTGAGTCTATAAGTGCTTATATATGCAGGTGTAAATATTAGAGCAGATACTCTTATGTGACAGGCAGTGGTGTTAATTCAGAATATTAATCCTTTAAAAACAGATTGATCTGGAAAAGGTGGATGCTCCTGCACAGAGTGTCCTGCTGGAGGTGAGCCTGAGTATCACTTCAACTCTTCCCCAAGGGGTTTTAAGCAAAACTGACTGTATATGCTAGCTTCCTTTGCCAGTTTTGGAGAGAATCCTTCCTCAGCAGCTTTCCTTTCCTGGAAACTTCTTTTTGTGTTTACAGTACACAACTTGGCCAATTTGCTGTGGTTTGCACTTGAAAGGAGTGATATTAAGCTGTGCCCATCACTCCTCCCTGGCAGGTGCTTGCCTTGCCCAGTTCCAACTCCCCCAGTAATGAAGCAGCCCCTGCACAGCAGCTGGCTGGGATTTAGAAGTCAAGGACTCCTCCAGTTCCACTGGGGTAAAACAAACCCTCCCTGTCTGTCATCACTAAAGCAATTTCCTCAGAACCAGGAAAACCCCAAAATGAAAACACACACAGTCAAACTATGAAACACTTAGACAAAAAGGTTAAGTCTTTCCTTAAAATTTGACTCCTTGGCACAGCTGCTGTTCTTTATTTAATTGTGTGTAGAAGTGCTGTGAAGATCCAGAGCCCAGCCTTACTTCTGAGTTGAGCTTGGGATTTGTAATGTACTTAAATATACTGACAAAAACAACAGAAGTACAATCAGGAAAAGTCAGTTATTTAAGGAGCAAAGCTACTTTTTAGTTGCATAAGCAGCTTGTTTACTGCTAATTTCATCATAGACTGGTTTGGGTTGGAAGTGACCTTGAAGATCACCCAGTGCCACCCCCTGCCATGGGCAGGGACACCTTCCACTATCCCAGGTTGCTCCAAGCCCCATCCAACCTGGCCTTGGACACTACCAGGGATCCAGGGGCAGCCACAGCTTCTCTGGGCAAGCTGTTTCTCCAATTAAAAAAAACCCAAACCCAAACTACTTCCAGTTTGACTTCTCAATCCAGCACTGATTCCAGTGTCTTTGCTGTAAATAGCCAGATCTCGAGATGATTCCAGAGCACAGCCTTGCCTTTCCCAGCCTGCCATGCAGTTGTTCCCTCAGCAGGGCAGCAGCAGCATCCCCAAGGCCTTCCCCCTGAGGAAGGTGTGCTTGGGGCTGGGCCTGAGCACGGGTGCTATTAGTGAGGCTGGGGCTGCCACGTGCAGGTGCCAACGTGTCACAGTGCAGGTGCTGCCGGGGCTGTTCTGCCATGGGTTTAGTCACAGCAACGTGGATTTTGCCAAATAAACTCCAAGTGGTTAAAAGTAATTGCAAACCTAAAGTGAGACCTACATTAAAATGTAACCATAATCCACCAAACTGCAGGAAAAACATGGGCTGCAGCATCTGCCTGCACTGAGGAGAACAAACCTGCTGGGAACGGGTCACTCATCGCACCTGACTTGGGAATTGGTTCTGGGGACTTGGCAGTGTTACCTCTTGACAGGTACTTGGGGAGTAACAATGTTCACAGGACTATTAAAATGAAGCAGCAGAGGTCTTAAACCCTCTCACAGACAGAATGCTATGTAGGGATGAGATACACAGGGCTGACAGAGCACATGTTCCAAAGCGCATGTCCAAACTCAAGCTACAAACAGGAGCAGTTCAGCTGATATTGCACATTTCTGGGAGTACAAACCTTATTCGCAGTAACCATCCCCACCTGTGAAGGCATTGGGGTAAAGCTGTTAGGCAACAGAATTGGTACTTTGCATTCCAACACATTAGTCTAGTTCTAGAGAAGCAGTGTCACGGGAAAGTTTTAACCACTATTAATTACAGGTCGATTTCAAAGCATTAGTCTCTACATTCATTATCTCCTCCTTCAGAATCTCCCAGAATAAGCAGCAACTCAGCAGGAGAACATTTCAAAATCAGCTGGTTTTGAATGGCCTCAGCATTACATTTAAAAAAAAAATAAACTTAATTCATTAACTTTATTCACTAAAATTAACGTTATCCCTACCAAACTAGCAACTAGAAGCTTCATGAAGTTTTTGTGAGAAGACAATGTTCCTCTTTACTTCCCAACTGTCTCAACACAGAGAGACTGCATTTACAATACGAAGCTCTGTAAGTACTGACCTAAGAAATACAGTTGAGTGTAAGTGAATCTTCAGCTTCTGGATGTTCAACTTAAAAGAGCATCAGAAGACTCTGTTCTCGTAAGGTTTTTAAAACATTCTCTGTGTGTTTTGCCTATTAGAACACGTGTCAGTGACCACTTTTGCCCTTTTCTTAT